AAGGGATTGTGGCGTGACCATCCCCCCTGGGGGGTGATTTCTCGCTTTCTGTCTCTATGTCTCTCTCTGTCTGTCTGGCAAGCATACGCACCCTATAGTGAAAATCTCCCCCCCCCAAAAAAAAAAAGTCAATAAATAATTAAATAATTTTTAAAAAATTTTTGGAGATATTTTTTGCTATACAGTGTGTGTACTTGCCAGACAAAGAGAGACAGAGAGACAGAAAGCGAGAAATCACCCCCCAGGGGGGATGGCCACTCTGCAATTCCTTCTCCTTCCGGAATACTGGGCATGCACGCGCACACGCCCAGCGTGAATTAAAGCCGCCGGACCCGGTACTCGAACTGCGGTCGGCTACATGGGAGCCCAAAGACATAGCCATTACGCTAGTTGCTGGTCCCTAAATAAAGTAATTCTTTAAAAATAACACAAATAGATAATAGGATATAATACTGTAAAGAGCAATCTTTATTAATGGAAAGGGAATGAGATCTGTTCTGGCCAGCAGAGAGCGCCATTGTCCCAGAACACACTCCTAGATGAAAACTGTCCCAAAGGGGCCTCAAACCTCCATGCCTCAGGGTGCTGAGACTCCCCTGCAAAGGCCAGTCCTGCAAAACCCCCATGCAGGAAGCCCACCTCAGGCCGCTTGCACTTGCTGTTGCCTTCTCTCCAACACTCATCTGGGTCTGTTGCCTTTTTCCCCTTCTCTAGGACATGTTCAATAGCCCAAGAGAGACAGAGAAAGGGAAAGTGAGAGATCACCTCCAGCGGAGATGGCCACCCTGCAATCCTTCTCCTTATGGGATCTTGGACACGTAGGCACATGTGCCCAGTATGTTTCAAGCCTCCAGGTGAGGGATTCGAACCTTCGTCAGCCATGTGGGAGTGGCACGATATAACCATTATACCACCTGCCTCCTCCCACAGCCATGTTTCTCAAGCTGAGGGGTCCAGGACTTGAACTGTGCAGTCAGCTACATGGGACCCAGCGCTTTAACCTCCATGCCACCTGCTAGCACCAAAACTCACCCTTGAAGTACTGCCCATGTTTGGCCAGAGACTTAGAGTGTTAACTCCTTCATACCTGCCTAATAGACAATTCTCTCAAAAAGAAAAAAAAAAAAAGGAACGTCAGTTGGTGTAATGGCTAAGATGCTGGACTACCATGAAGTCGATGATGGTTCGAGTCCTGGATCCGGTGGCTTAAACTCACGCCAGGCACGTGTGTGTGCACGCACAAGATCCCGAGAGGAGAATGGAGGAGAATGGATTGCGGTGTGGCCATCCCCCCTGGGGGATGATTTCTTGCTTGCTGTCTCTGTCTCTCTCTGTCTTTCTGGCGAGCGAACGTGCCCTGAAGCAAAAAACCTCTCCAAAAAAAGAACTGCCCGTGTTAGGTTCTTATTTTTCACAACAGCTGCTCTACTTCAGAGCATAGATGTCCATATTTTTTTTATTTCCTTTTTTATTTTTAATGTTTTTGCCAGGAGCTGCAGATGGCATGGTGGTTAAGGCACTGAACTCCCATGTGGCTGATTATGGTTCAATTCCCAGACCTGGTGGCTTGACTTCTCACTTTCTTTCCCTCTCTCTCTCTCTCTCTCTGTGTCTCTCACTGATAAAATTTTAAAATTATAATAATAAATATGAATAAATAATTTAAAAAATTTTTGCCACAGGGTACATGTGCTTGCCAGAGAGAGACAGAGTGAGACAGACAGTTATAGAGAAGGAAAGTTAGCAGTAACCCCCAGGGGGATGGCCACACTGAAGTCCCTTTTGCTGGACTGCCACGTGGCTGACCACTGTTTGAGTTCTGGGCCTGGCTGCTTGCTTTCTCACTCTTTTTCTTTGTCTCTGTCTCTCAGTTTATACTGAATAAAAATTATTTGGTAATGTATATATAATGGGTCAGGTGGCAATAAGTGCAGGAAATGAAAGCAGGGAAATAGAGGAGTTGGGAGGTGGGCAGGGATGGGGTCACAACTGAGGGAGAATTTAAATTCAGGCACCTTCAACAAAGTCTTTCTTCTGGCTACGATCCGCCCTCCTCTCTTAGCTGGCCTAGATCGCAGTGCATGCCGCGTGCTCAGGGATGTGAACCCAGGACCTTTCCCATGTGGATCCAGTTGTATTACCATCACACAAAAATTCTAGTCCCACTAGGGTTGGCAGGTGGTGTGGCGATTGAGGGTGCTGGACTCCCACATGGTCAACTGAGGTTCAAGTCCTGGACCTGGCGGTTTGCTTTCTCTCTCTCTCTCTCTCTCTCTGTTCCTCTCTGGTCAAATTAAAAACATTCCCAAAGTACGGGACCAGCAGGTGTTGTGGCAGTTAAGGTGCTGTACATTCCCACATGATCGACCACGGTTCGAGTCCCAGACGGACATAGTGGGTTGCTTTCTCACTTTCCCACTCTCGCTCTCTCTGTGTCTCTCTAATCAAATTAAAATAAACGAATGAATAAATTAAAATAAATACATAAATAAGAAAATTAAGTTGTATCATTTAAAAATAAAGTTTATATAACTTCAAGAAATTC